AGGATAGATATACAAACCAATAGAATAGAATTCACAGTACAGAATTAAACCCACACATGTATTGCTAATTATATATACCAAATTTCTAAGAAACAGGTAAAAGGTGAATGAAACCAAAAACAAAGGAGAAATCCTACCACATTGATTCGATGGGGGAAGTAATAGTCGCTTTATGGTGCTAGAATAACTGGACTTCCAGATGCAAAAGAATGAAGTTGGGCCCCTACCTCACATCATCTATAAAAATTCAAAACGGATCAAAGACCCAAGTATAAGAGCTAAACCCTATTACATTCCTAGTAGTTATAAAACTCTTAGTAGAAAACATAGGGGCAAATTCTTCACGACCTTGAATTTGGCAATATAGTCTACAACATGACATCAAAAAAGCATGAGCAATGAAAGAAAAAAAAAAATGGAACTTTATCAAAATTAAAAATGTTTCGTGTGTCAAACGACATTGTCAAGAAAATGAAAAGACAACCCACAAAATACGTGAAAATACTTGCAGATCATGTATCTGATAAGGGTCCAAGATATATAAAGAACTACCACTCAACAACAAAAAGACAAACAACCCAATTAAGAATAGGCAAAATACTTGAATAGACATTTCTCCAAAGAAGATATACAAATGGCCAATAAGCAGATGAAAAGATGCTCAAAATTGTTAGTCATGAGAGAAATGCAAATCAAAACCACAATGAGATACCACTTTGTAACTACTAGGATGGCTATTTAAAAAAAAAAAAAAAAGAACAAGTGTGGAGATACAGGAATCCTCATACATTGCTGGTGGGCATTTAAAATGGTGCAGCCACTATGAAAAAGAGTTTGGTGCTCTTCAGAAAGTTAAACATATGATGCAACAATTCCACTCCTAGGTGCATAACCAAAAGAACCAAAAGCAGGGACTCAAACAGATGCTTGTATGACAATGTTCACTGCAGCATTATTCACAACAGCCAAAGGTAAAAACAACCCAACTGTCTACCAACAGATGAACAGGTTAACAAAATGTGGGATATATTAAATACTTACAATGGAATAGTATTCTGATACATGACACATCATGGAAGCACCATGAAAACATTATACTAAGTGAAATAATCCAGACACAAAAGGACAAATATACTATAATATGATTCTACTTCTATGAAATATCTAGAATAAGCAAATTCACAGAGACAGAAAGAACAGAGGTTACCAGAAGGGAGAATGAATGGGAAGTTACTGTTTCATGGGCTGAGTGTTTCCATCTGTGGTGATGAAAAAATTCTGGAAATAGATAGTAGTCGTGATTGTAAACCATGAATGTAATTAATGCCACTAAATTGTATACTTAAAATGGTTAAAATGGGGCCGGGCACAGTGGCTCATGCCTGTAATCCAGCAATTTGGGAGGCCGAGGTGGGCGGACCACTTGAGGCCAGGAGTTCGAGACCAGCCTGGCCAACACGGTGAAGCCCCATCCCTACTAAAGATACAAAAATTAGCCAGGCGTGGTGGTACACACCTGTAATCCCAACTATTTGGTAGGCTGAGGCAGGAGAATCGCTTGAGCCTGGGAGGCAGAGGTTGTAGTGAGCCAAGATCATGCCACTGCACTCCAGCCTGGGCAACAGAGCAAGACTGTCTCAAAAAAAAAAAAAAAAGTTAAAATGGTAAATTTTATGTTATGTACATTTAACCACAAAAATATTTTCATTTCAATTTCCAAGTTAAACTAGCTACATTTCTTGTTTTCTTCTCCACAAAAATGTTACTGCTCATCACTAGCTGCATTTCAATTGCTTAATAACTAGCCACAGCAGCTGGTGCCTACAACCACCACACTGGATAGCACAGATATAAAACATTTGCAATACCACAAAAGTTCTAGTACCTAGTTCTTACTTACAAGCCAAAATCAACAATTCCAAATGCAAAATGATCAATAAATAAGGAAAACAGGGAGAAAACTGGACACTCAAACAATGAGTACCTTCCAGAACAAGCTTTTCCAACCCAGGGCCTGCGGGCTGCATGTGGCCCAGGATGGCTTTGGATGCAGCCCATCACAAATTTGTAAACTTTCTGAAAACATTATGAGTTTCTTTTTGCAATTTTTTTTTAAGCTTATCGGCTATCATTAGTGTATTTTATGTGTGGCCCATGTGGCCCAGGGAAGCCAGAAGATTGGACACCCCTGTTCTAGAGGGTGCATTTAAAAATCATAAATAAGTGGCAGTTGCATGTCTTTCAGGCTGAAGGAAGAGGGTATGAGGCCAATACATTCTCCAAAGGTTTTGAAAAGAGGAGTTCTACAAATTAGAAGAATAGCAAAGAACAGAATATTAGAAAAGAAATTGTGGCCTACGTGACCGGTAGCTTTGGATTATATTCTCTGGGTCTTGGTTTCCTCATCTCTTAAACAGGCGATTCAACTAGATGTTTTCTAATTAACCTCCTGATCTCATTGGTACTTTTTTAAAAAAAAGAATAAAGATTACTAACATCTTCAAGATCAGTCAAGATTAAACTAGAATTCAACTGGGTTAAACTCTAGTTGTACTCAACACTAGCTGCAAACTAGAAGACTGTGCTTTGACCCATGACAACAAAATGGAGTCTTTAGGGTGGGGCCAAGGCATCTAGAGTTGTTAAAAGCTCTGCAAAGTGATTCTGACACACTATGAGGGTTAAGAACCACTATGCTGGAACACAAGTGACTGTATAGTTCAGGCAGGAAAAGATAATGGGAAACATTTTCCTCTTTTCTTCTTGTCAGGCAATCGAAGCTGTATCTACACAGATGGCAACTTACAAGAGAAAGGTTAAGTATATTACAAATAAAAATCCTTTGAATTCGACTTTTACAATCCAGGAAAGAACATCTGTCTGAAAAAGAGCCAAGTAGAATAGAAACAATAAATAACTCAAACCAAAATTTTGAAATGAATTCTCATGTATTAAAAAATGAATCCCCTATTAATAAGTTGAAACACTAGGTTGTTTATCTAAAGTTCACAGAAGAAAAAGACGTAAGCACAAAGGGAAGATTTCCTATAGGCGGAAAGTTAGCATTTAAAAGGGTCAGGGAATAGACAGGTGTCTGTGAGACCGGACCACAAAGGTACAAGACCCACATTGCTTTGAAAACTTTTTAACATTAGTCTGCCAAGGAGAGCCATCCTTTTCTACCTATCACAGAATTAAAAACAAAACAAAACATTAATGATTCACAGGTAGACAATAAAGTGGGAGGGTGAAGGGGTAATCTGTTTTGCAAGGTAATTACTAAAGATGATGGCTAACATTTACTGGCAGGCTCGTCTCAGTACTTTCCAGTTACTATCTGGCTGAATTCTTACGACAACCTTGTGAGTATGTATGATTACTATCATTTTACGGTTAAGGAAACTGAGAGACATAGAGGTTAGAAAACTTGCTCAAAGTTACACAGCTGGAAATAAAAGAGCTAAGATCTAAACCCAGGAAGTCTGGCTCCAGAGCATGTGCTTAACCTGTATGTTATACTGTTTTTCCCTCTCTGCCACCTTGTATGTCTACACTGGCATGGAGGTCTGTGACTGACTGAATGGTAGCTGGAGATACAGACACAAGAAGCGGAAGGGGAGTGGGGAACAGAGAATAGCATCAGGATAGCAGCTACTCCAGAGGACAAACCAAGGATGGGACTCTGAGATATGTACCTGAGGAAAGGGGGAAGTATAAATTTTCCCTAATTCTCTTACCTTGGACTGTAATATATATATACCAAATTTCTGAGAAACAGATATAAGGTGAATGAAACAAAGGACAAAGGAGAAATACTAGGTATTCAACTAACTTAAAATCCAGAGGTAGGGAGTAATAAGGTAAGCTATGTACAGGGAGACTGCATTCTGTATCAATCCTAATATTCAGAGAAAGAAACAGCTTTACCTGAGAAATAGAGGATTTTTCAGTTCATAATGCAAGTACATTCTCTCTAGCAGAAGACAGTTAGAACACATGGGCAGATATCACAAACATCACAGCCATTATAGAAGTACATCCCAAACTGTAAGCAAGTGAACTGACATTCTGGTTTATAAACTCAATGAGTTTATTTAGGTAAGGGACTAAAACGACTTTTAGATCTCTAGGCATAATAGATCAGAGGTAACTGTAGCATGTCTAATAGCCCAACCAAAACCAACTGAAGGCTAGTTAACTCAATTCTATAGAAAAAAAAAAAAATCCCTAAAACTAATTCTAGATATATATTTTAACATTCTTTCTCACCTAAACATCTTCCATAAGTAGAACTGATAAGAGTTCCAACAAACCACATTTCTCATAACATTATTACTGAACAATGAAACAAGCATACCGCAGATAGGAAAGGAACTAAAATAAGGGGGCTATAATAAACCGTAAACTAGACAGTAAGTCTTGGAGTAAATTAGGGTTTGGCTGCAATCTGGGAAAAAGTTTGTGCTGGAAAAACAAAAGTACATTACATGGTAACCTTTTCACTTCTTGCTTTTACTCTTTGTTGTCAAACAACAAACATAACAAGTAAGCAGTATATCATTGCAGGTACCAAACATAGCCTTTTTAATACACAAAACAAACATACTAGCAAGATGTCCTTCATTTAGAAACAGGTATCTTGTGCTCATTAAGTGTTTATACAAGCAGACTAAACCCGTCATTGGGATCTGGAGTTTCTCATGAGTATGCTCAGGTCTCAGAACTGCTGTGGGATGATTAATAAGGGATTGCTGCAAAAAGAAGACAGATTTGATGGGTTTTTCAACTTATGAGGAATTTTTCCAACTCATAAAAGTAAACTGAAGCCTCTTTCTTGGCAAGGCAAGCTACTCAGTAAGAAGAAAAACTTCATAATGCATTATCTAGACTATAAAAGCAAAAAACTGAGAGCCTTCCCTAGAGATAAGTAAAAGGAGTATACATCCATGGACACTGGAATACAGATAAGAAACAAGAATCCAAAACTTTTTAAAGGATACGGTCTGTGCCAGGAAACAATGTTCTTCCAGTCAACAGCTCGGCCATTATGCATCCCACTGACCAAATATCAACTGGCAAAATTAAAGAGAAATAAAAGTACATGCAATGTCACTGTTACTATTCTTGGCAACAATGGCAACAAATGAAACCGTAACTAGGGGTGAAATATTCAAATTACTATTTAAGACATCTGAGGCTCAACAATCATAGTCATTTTTACAGAAATAAATAGCTTACTAAGATCACCTGACTAAAGGGCTATTCAAAGGTGTGGTAAGTCAAAACATACTTAAGAGAAATAAGCTGTTTAAAAAGGGGTAAGTTTCATATTAGCAGAATGGTAGATTCTTCTAAGTAACATTGAGGGGTTAAAATTATGGATTCATTGTCTTTAGGTATAAGTACTCAGAGAATATATTAAAATCTAAATAAATAAAAACCAATTGCTAAATCACAAGATTTAAAGGCTGTGTATAAAACCCCACTTCCCCATCTGAGGAAGTGAAATATTTTTACTTGTAGGCTTTAAAAGGATCACTGAGGGAAGAAAAGATATTTCTTCCCACTCCCACCATCTCTACTTCTGAGAATCCCAAATGCATCCAACATGGAATTAAATAAGGCCCTAAATAACCAAGGCAAGTAATACCTGTCTGGTTGTAATGCATCCAGTTCAGCATGATCTCAGGAGCCCTGTACCACCTAGTGGCCACGTAGCCTGTCATTTCATCATCTGTGTGCCGAGCCAGTCCAAAATCCAGAATCTAAAGGGCAGAAGAGGAACAGACAAACTGCTAAGACTGAGAGACAGGGGAAACAAACAAACAAACAAACAAACAAACAAACTTCTGCCACCTTATTAAAAAGGAGAACAAAATAGCACTTTCATAAAGAGATTTCCTGGTCCATGCTTAGAATGTATGGGAAATATACAGCAAGAACTTAAACTGAAATTACAAAAAGCAAAACAAAAACCTAGGTATTTAATCAAGTGCAATGAGAACTTATGTCCACACAAAGGTTTGCACATAAATGTTTACAGTTGCTTTACATAGCCTCAAACTCAAGCAAATGTCCATCAGCAGGTGGACAGATTTAAAAATTCTGATATGTTCATAAAACAAAATACTATTACCAATAAAAAGGAAGAAACCACTGACACACACAATACTGAATCATTACACAAAGCAAAGGTCAGACACACAAAAATACACACTATATGATTCCATTTACATGACACTCCAGAAAAGATAAACCTAATCTATAGTGTTAGAAGCAGATGCATAGTTGCGTGGAGTCAGAATTAGGGGTGGAGGGATAGGGATTGACTAGACTAGGAAGGGACACAATAAACTTTTTCTTTTTCTTTTCTTTTTTTTTTTTTTTTGAGACAGGAGTCTCACTCTGTCACCCAGGCTGGGGTGCAGTGGCGCAATTTCGGCTCACTGCAAGCTCTGCCTTCCTGGGTCTATGCCATTCTCCTGCCTCAGCCTCCTGAGTAGCTGTGACTCCAGGTGCCTGCCACCACGCCAAGCTAAATTTTTATATTTTTAGCGGAGATGAGGTTTCACCGTGTTGGCCAAGATGGTCTCTATCTCCTGACCTCATGATCCACCCACCTCGGCCTCCCAAAGTGCTGGGATTACATGCATGAACCACTGCGCCTGGCCATAAACTTTTGAAAGTAATCCAAATGTTCTTCGCTGGGAGCAGTGGCTCACACCTGTAATCCCAGCACTCTCAGAGGCCGAGGCAGGTGGATCACGAGGTCAGGAGATCGACACCATCCTAGCCAACATGGTGAAATACCATCTCCACTAAAAATACAAAAATTAGCCAGGCGTGATGGCATGCACCTGTAATCCCAACTACTCAGGAGGCTGAGGTAGGAGAATTGCTTGAACCCGGGAGGCAGAGGGTGCAGTGAGCCAAGATCTCACCACTGCACTCTAGACCGCAACAGAGCGAGACTGCATCTCAAAAAAAAAAAAAAAAAGAAAAAAAAAGAAATGTTCTTTATCATAAATGTGATAGTTAAGTGGATACATAATTTTGCCAAAATGAAAATGGTGCGTTCTAATGTATGGAAATTTTTTTTTTTTTAAGTTAAAAAAAATGAAATGGAACAAAATAAGTTCTAGAGCTGCTTGCTCTTTAGAAAAAATTAATTCACTTATCTTTTATTTGAATTATTTTGAATGAGTGGGTTTCTGTCATTTCTCCTCTTAGAAATGTATTTAATGTAGTTATCACCTCTTTAGGACCACTTACTTGATATTTGACTATTATCTTCCTTTATTATGAATATATTAAATTTATAATTTAACTTTATGTTAAAATAAAAACAAGTGATGCCACTTTCAATGTCACTTAGCTTACTCAGAAATGGTTTACATTTCAAAGTCTGGTAATAAAAATAATATGAATTTCGGATAGTCACGGCTCATAAATCTACTCCCTATGAAAGTTTGCCTGCTTAGTCAAACATACAATCTCAAAGTAAAGCAAACAATGAATACTGTCTCTTCATTTTACCTTCAGCTCACAGTCTTCATTCACAGCTAGATTACTAGGTTTTAGGTCCTAGGAAGCAAATACAGGGAAGACAGGATCAACTTCATGATGCATGATCAATTTTCCCCCTACAGGTAATAATGAGGATCCAGACATAAAAGACTTCATCCAGCTATCAAAACATAATCTCCATCCTACAGTCAATGTCTAGTCCAAGTTAGCTTTACATAGAACAAAACTACACAACTTCTTTCTTTAATCAGCCTAAACCTAGAGTAAAGTTGCAATCAATCAACATTTCAATGGCTAAAGTAAGTTTAGATTAGGATCTTGGCTAAATCCCATTCTTCCACTCTCACCCCACTTCCCCAAAATAATGTAATCAAAGTCATAATACATACCCTGTGAATTATGTCGGCTGAATGTATATACTGCAAAAAAGAAAAAAAGTCAGTTACCTCCAACCTTCTATTGTCACATTATATAACATATTTGCTGCACATTTTCATGAATCAGTAAGAACTGCTAGTGTTAACAGTAAGATTAGAAATCAGCGTAAGTAACTATCAGTATTGTGTACATTTACCATAACTATAATTTCCACAGCCATTGACTCCACTCAGTTGAGCTTTTTATCTATTTTCTGGTTGGCACTCTAGAGCTCAATAAGGACTCAAAGCAGCTAAATATCAAAGATGGTTTAATTTTAAAACACTGTTTACCTGCCCCTCCAACAAATAAATTAGTCTTTCTTGAGGATTTTTTGAAAATCTCAACATTACACTGACCAGATATTAGATCACATCAATAAATTATTGTTTAGATGTAAGAATGAAGAGTCCTTATCTTTCAGATGTGCATACTGAAGTATCTATGGGTGGTATTATATAATGTCTAGACTTGCTTTAAAATAATCCAGGGCTTGGGAAATACAAAAGAAACATGATTGGCCATATGTCGGTAACTGTTGTCACTGAGTGAACATGGCAGTTTATTGTACTATGACCTTTACTTGTGATTTTATGTGTTTGAATTTTCCGTAAGAAAAGTTGTTTACTTGTTTAAGCCCTAAAAGGAGGGGAGAAAGGCAGAATTAATTTTTTAAAATTATTACTTATATTATCTGTACCTTTAGACCTCGGAGAATTTGGTAGATAAGGAACTGAACATGGTCATCTGTAAGCTTCTGACATTTCACAATGTTGTTCAGATCTGCCCCCATGAGATGGGTCACCAGATACCTAGAAATTAGTGAAAAGTTACATAACAATCTAGAACCCCTAAGAAAACTCTTATCTTCACAAGACTTTTATAAGTTTTCTGGTTTTTTTGTTTTTGTTTTTGTTTTTGTTTTGAGACGGAGTCTCACTCTGTTGCTAGACTGGAGTGCAATGGCGCAATCTCGGCTCACTGCACTCCACCTCCATCCCAGGTTCAAGCGATTCTCCTGCCTCAGCCTCCCGAGTAGCTGGAACTCCAGGTGCCCAAAAACACACCCAGCTAATTTTTGTATTTTTAGTGGAGACAAGGTTTCACCGTGTTGGCCAAGATGGTCTCGATCTCCTGACCTCATAATTCTCCCACCTCAGCCTCCCAAAGTGCTGGGATTACAGGCATGAGCCACTGCACCCGGCCCGACTTTTCTAAGTTTTTAAGGGAAGGCCACCCTTCCCTTAAAATGGTAGCTGTACCACGATGACAGCTAAAAGTTAACAACTACTCGTTTTTTGAGGGGAGGGGCACCTCATTACCTCATTTTCAACATTGCTATTCTTTTACTTTTCTTTTTTTAGAGACAGGGTCATGCTCTGTCATGCAGTGGAGCAATCATAGTAACTCACTGCAACCTCAAATTCCTGGGCTCAAGCGATCCTCCTACTTCAGCCTCCCGAGTAGCTAGGACTAAAGGTGTGCACCACCACGCACAGCTAATTTTTAAAAATTTTTCTGTAGAGATGGGGTCTCACTATGTTGCTCAGGCTGGGCTCTAACTCTTGGTCTCAGGTGATCCTCCCAATTCAGCCTCCCAACATTACTGTTCTAACGTTAACTACCTGCCATCTATTCTAAACATTTACATACTTATTCCTACTTGACATAACCTTTTTCAGGTTATTTCAAGAGAAAAGAAAACAGGCCAAGCTTTGTGGCTCACACCTGTAATCTTAACACTCTGGGAGGCTGAGGCAGGAGTTTGAGATCAGCCTGGGCAACATAGGGAAACCCCATCTCTACAAAAAATAAAATAATAATAATAATAATAATAAAAGCAAAAGTAGGGATTAGAAAGATACATGTGTCAGTATCAGTTTTCTTAAAAATATTATTCTTGCATGACAAAATATACAGTATAACTTAGTGCATGGCTATAATTAAGTATCTTGTAGTTTTAAATCCACCAGTACATTTTCACCTTATTATAAGCTTTCCACGTTGTAGGTTCTAAAATAGGAGTATTTTTTGATTTTCTTTTTTTTTTTTTTTTTCTTTTTGAGACGGAGTCTCACTCTGTCGCCCAGGCTGGAGTGCAGTGGCCGGATCTCAGCTCACTGCAAGCTCCGCCTCCCGGGTTTACACCATTCTCCTGCCTCAGCCTCTCGAGTAGCTGGGACTACAGTAGGCGCCCACCCCCTCGCCCGGCTAGTTTTTTTTTTTGTATTTTTTAGTAGAGACGGCGTTTCACCGGGTTAGCCAGGATGGTCTCGATCTCCTGACCTTGTGATCCGCCCATCTCGGCCTCCCAAAGTGCTGGGATTACAGGCTTGAGCCACTGCGCCTGGTCTATTTTTTGATTTTCAAACTATAATTCTTTTTCAGGAACGACTAGTGAAAGGATTTTGTTCATTGACAATATTCCTGCATTTACCTTACAGGAAGGAGGAACATATTTTATCTGGAGGCAAGATGAGGCATTCCAGAATTTCTCCTCACAGGTGTGGTGCTGGTTATTAATTCCATCTTTATGTGGTAAGATTAGGGAATGATTACATTCAAGTCCAACAGGTTCACCACACATATTCTAGACACAATGTCTTAAGCCACTCATTACTGTATTACGCAGTTATGGAAACATAAAAAGTAGATCGGTACTAAAAAGGCTGAATTTTTTTTTTTTCTTGAGACAGAGTCTTGCACAATCTCGGCTCACTGCAATCTCCACCTCCCAGGATCAAGTGATTCTCGTGCCTCAGCCTCCCGAGCAGCTGGGATTACAGGTACGCACCACTGCGCCTGGCTAATTTTTGTATTTTTAGTAGAGGCAGGGTTTCACCATGTTGGCCAGGCTGGTCTCGAACTCCTGACCTCAAGTGATCCTCCCACCATAGCCTCCCAAAGTGCTGGGATTAGAGGCGTGAGCTACTGTGCCCGGCTAAGAGGCTGAATTTTTTAAAATATGTGTAAGTTTTATTTACTGTCTAAGAATCATTCCTATTCCTAAGGTTGGGTAATAATATATATCACCTGAGCTATAAAGAATGCTGATTTCATTTCATTTCTATTTTCATTTTTTATGAATTTTGGAGGGAAGAAAGCAAGTCAGTAATTTAGATCTATTATTAATGTATTATAAGAATAAACATGCGTGTGTGTGACCTCTCTATATACCTACACACACAACTCCAAGAAGAATGGAATTTTTTTTCTCTATCATAATTTCCCTGTAGGGCTGCCATGGTTAGTTCTCAATTTCATGGAGATCAACAGGACCTAATCTAGTTGTAACCTTAAGATTTTAGCATTTCATATTTTTAAAACTTACATGTTTATACTGCCTTGAGGAAAGAGTAGACTCTAAATGTAATTTAATAAGTAAATGAGATTGAAACGTTTTAAGAAATGTTCCAATCTCAACATAACATAACCAAAGACACTAACTAGCACTTATTCTGTGTCCAGCACTGCAGTAAGCAGTTTATTATGTCCACGTCTCATATACTCCTCCCAATAACTCTGTGAGATAATGTCCATTAGTGTTCCCATTTACTGACAAGGAAACAGAGACAGAACAAGGATAAGCCATCTACTGAAGGTCAAAAAGAGTAGTAATGTCAGGAGTTGAATCTAAAACTAACTGACCCCACAGACCATGATCTTAATCACAGCACATATCTTCCAACAATTCTTTCAGCTGATACAAAATTTACATCAAGGGAATGACCTTTTTAAAAACTCTTATAAATGTCACAATAACTAGCGAAGCAGTATGTCTGAATAATGTCCTTAATAATTCTCAACACTGTATTTACTATCAAAGCTAATCTTAACTAATAAAGAAGGCTGGCAAGAACACAGCAATATTCTGTCCTAATCACAGTTACTATATTCTTTAACTCTAAATTGATGCATAAGCTGAGGAAGACAGAATCCAATTTCAGTCTTATAAGACTACTTTGCACATAATTATATTTTTTGACATTGGAAAATAAGAGGGTTATTCTTTCAACTTTTCTAAATAATTTTATGGAGAAGGGACAAACATAACTTATCTTTAAATAAAACCTAAAAGTCCTAACTAATATGCCTGAGCTAGTTCACAAAGGTTAGGCAAAATTACTAATGAAAGTATAGCAACTTCAAGTACAACTATTGTGTTTAAATGGTTATCAGTGACTTAAGAAATCTTAGGCAGCCAGAGGACCACTGACTGCATGGCCCGAGAGAGAGACAGTGTGCTTTTAGTTAGAACATTTTACCACGATGTAATTTCTCTCAAACCCTTTCCCCCTCAGAGACCACATCCATTTTATCACCAAAATTTAGAGAAAGGGTGAGACTGCCAAAACATGTAAGTTTGTAAGATTAATCACTCTATATAGTAATAACTACCAAGCATTACTACTAAGCTACAATGAAATAAAATGAAAGGCATTATTTATGGCAGAAGTGTCTTGCAGGAACTAACATAATCACTATACTTGTTTCCAGGAGGCCCAAAGACCAATCCATGACCACCAACTGTTACATTCTAACTCCCATATAGAAAGATTTTCAAAATAAGTCTTGCAACAGAGGACAAAAGCAAGCATCATACAAAGTTGCTGACTGTTTATGGAAGACGCACCAACTTCTAAAAATAATGAACAGGATGGGGGGCAAGGAATATAGATGAGCACATTTTAAGTAAGTACATTCCAAAGGAGGCATTAATGGAGAGTCACATAATTTCTACAGTATTTGTTTCTGGAAAGCATAGTCAATTACATTTTAAAGACATGCCTAATATTGTCAATGTATATAACACCTAAAGTAAATTAAGGAAGGTCAGACTTGAGTATGGTTGGAAAGCTATCTAGTTCTCACATCTTTACAACGGAATTAAGTAAGTTGGCCTTTGTTAGGCTAAAAGCTGAAAACAGAACTTCATGGACTGATACAAATCTTGTTTTTCACTTTCCTTGTGAAGTTGGTCTTCTTTAAATTTAATCAAAGTATAGAGATCACAAATCACATTTCTCAAAGTGACTCCTGTGAGTAAAATGTACTGTGACAGCAAGAAGGAAGAACTCTGTCATAAATGCTTTTCAGTACTCTAGACAGCACCCCATTCTACAGCTTCATTTATACTTCTTGGATAATATCCAATTGTTAAGACCAGTACCACCGTCCCTGCCCTCTTTCTCCCCACCCTCCACTTTTTAAAGCACAGAATAATCAGAAAGAACCTATGTAGAGGGCGGGCGTGCTGGCTCACGCCTGTAATCCCAGCACTTTGGGAGGCTAAGGCAGGCAGATCACAAGGTCAGGAGATTGAGACCATCCTGGCTAACATGGTGAAACCCCGTCTCTACTAAAAATACAAAAAAATTAGACGGGCGTGGTGGCAGGCACTTGTAGTCCCAGCTACTCGGGAGGCTGAGGCAGGAGAATGGTGTGAACCCGGAAGGTGAGCTTGCAGTGAGCCGAGATCGCGCCACGGCACTCCAGCCTGAGCGACAGAGTGAGACTCCGTCTCAAAAAAAAAAACAAAATAAAAATAAAAAAAGAGAAAGAACCTTTGTAGGAAAAACTCTTCTATATCTGTATCTACAGACTGGCATCTCTTACCACTATCAGTCCTATTCAAAGAAATTATCAAAAGGCAAAAAAAAAAAAAAAAAATTATTCCATATTTAAACAGCATGCTTAAAACAATCACAGGGATTGACAATTTGTAAGCACAACCTTCTGCAACTCACCTAGTGATCCCTGGGACTTACTACAGTCTATTCTCAACGCAGGGGAAGAGTGATTCTTTAGAAAT